GAGCCGCCCCGCCCCGGCCGCCGTTGCCGGGCCCCGGGCGCGAGGCTTGCCTCTGTCGTCTCCGCCAGGGTGCTCACCCGCCGCTGGGGCTCCTCGCCCGCCACCCCTCGGCCGTCCCGGCGACCAACAAAGAGCGCGCCGCTCCGGCTGTCGAGCCCGGAGGCTCCCCGGCCGGGGCGCCCGGCAGCCCGGCGGCGATCGGGCGCGGGCGATGGAAGATGGAAGATAGAAGCCCCGCGGTGAGTGAGGCTCTAGAGGCGGCGGTGCGGAGCGCTCGGTCTAGCTTAGCTCTGCGCGGCGGTGGAGCGCCCCGGGCCCGGAACAGGGGTCCCGCCCCGCGGCAGGCTGGTGAGCGGACGCCCGCTGCCCGCCTTCGTGCGCCTGGGAGCCCGCACGGGCCGGCCTCGCGGTGCTGGGGTTCCCGGCTTTCCCCTGGGCGCCGCGCTGCGGACACCTCGCACTTGGGAGGGAAGCCGGGGGACTGACCGGCCGCGAGCAGGAGAGCTCGAAGCGGACCTGGTGTGCCGAGCTCTGCTCGGATTGTCACGTTTCTCTGTCAGAAGAGAATTTGCAGGGAGCGAGCGGAAAGGGAAATTGGTTGTTCGATCTAATCCTCCCGGTGGCAGGTCGAGAGCCGTCGGTCTTTCTGTTTAACACGCTTTCAACTTTATCCGCGGTTTCAGCTCTACGTTCTGGCAGATGGTGTTATGAGATTTTTAAAAAGCAGGTGAGCGTGGAGAAAGTAGAGAACTTGGGGTCAGAATGTTGTAGGTGACCCCAATAATAAGTGTTTCATTTTGCCGTCTCCCTCGTTAAAGGAGGGAGCACCTGGTAGGCAGAGGATGTGAAGGAGGACATCGCGATCACGTTTTCCGGAGACGGGTTTGTCTGGCGGTGGGGTCCGGGATTTCAGCTCGAACAATGCTCGAGTGCGCTCGGTGTTGGGCTAGGGAAAGACGGGGATCTGGAAAAGTGGTCTAAGTGGGATTTGGGGAACAAATGCTGCAGTGCATTAATTATAATTGAATATATGCGAAGTATTTTGCAAAGTCCAAGAACCTGTGCGTAAGGCAGGATTTCTGCTCTCAAGGAGCTTGTTTTCTAGGAGAGACTTGGGCGTAGGTTCTGAGGAACCCACAGAAGGCGAGCTTCTGGTCTAAGGGTTTGGAAGCTCTCTCAGAGGAGCTGGCGGTTAGGCTGGACCTTGCAGAAGAGGATCTGGCTGGCTTTTTGTGTGGAGGGAACAGGAATGGTGCCTGATGGGGGATAAGAAAGTCACTTTCCGTCCTTTCCCAAGGAATACTTCACTTTTTTTTTTTCTTAGAGTATTTGCAAATCAGGAGACACTCAAGTCACTGTTACTCTTCAGCACTTTCAAATGCAACATGCTCAATAGAGCTAGAAAAACAGTGCAGAATAAATTAACACCTTCACGACCAATTTCTAGTGGCTTGATGTGTGTCCTCACAACTTTCTTACTATTTACAAATCATGTCACAAATGTATGATTCTGTCTTATCAGATATTTCATTCATATGTGCTTTTTGAACTAAAAGGAGCAGAGTGATACCCTGGAAAGCATGTGGACTAGGAGGTAGGACACTTAGCTTGTAGGTTTTGTCACTGGGTGAGTTTTTGCTGGTCATTTCCATTTCACATGTGTAGCTAAAACTTTCTCCTGTGAAAGATAAGAGGGTTGGGTAGCTGCTGTCCGAGCCTGCTAGCTCTGGCATTTCACGGTTTCATGTTTAGACATGTATATGCATTACTTACTTAGTAATGCACTTTTACCTTCACATTGGAGTCTCTCAGTTTGTATGTTCTGTGACCGGATCAGCACCCATCCTGGCCATTGACTGTGGAAGAGTGATTCAAGCTGACAAACTAAAATAACTTTATTTTAAGGTGAAATTCCACAGGATTGTTATTTTTAACAAATCCATTATAAGAAGCTTGATTTGGAAATATGAATATGAGTTGGCTTTAAAAAATGTTTTCTTGATAGTGTTTACTTGTGATCAAAGGCTCATACATACTTTACTGTGTACATTGTACTTCAAAGAAAAAAGTTCAATTTTGCTTATAATGAAAGAGCACTAGCAATTTAAAAAATGGGATACCTTGGAAATCCTTATAGGCTAGTAGACCTTGGGCCTTTGGAAATAAAAAGAAGAAAATCAGCTTATTGAAAAAGGAAAATTCTGAGATACTTTCTGTCAATGGCTGTTCACTTTCTAAAACCTTCATATTTATATATTTGTTAACCTTGATGGAAAATATGAAGGACATTTAGCCTGGCATCACATTAAAAAACATGTCCAAGCCATTACTGCTTTTAGAGGTGATTTTTGTTTTTTGCTTTAAAAATTCTGGAGTCATTTGTTGTGCATTATTCATAAACCAAGACACCAGTGTAGTAATGGGTCAATCTCAGTCTTGGTTAAGAAGAGCTGTGGCAGGAACTGTGTGAAGTTTCAAACCAGTATGTGCTTTGGCCACCAGACTGATTTGTTTGAGGTTTCCCTGAGGTAATGCTGTCGTTTGGCAGTTATGAAAAAAGCATTTCTTTGGGCTTGGCTTGGATGAGGACATGAGTAATGAATGGTGATCCTCCCCAAATGTTAGAAATGAATTCACCCATGATTGAGGCTTGGGCAGTCTGTGAAAAATAATATGGTGATCAGTGGGTGACCAGTGCCTGCTTACCTGAGGGTGTGGCTTAGCTCACAGAAGGTTGGGGTCTCGTCCAGCCACAGATAACGGCTGCTTCAAGGGCTCTCAGCGTCTAGGGGTTCCATCCTGCAGTCTGGGCCAGACACAGAGGCCCTTGCTTGCTTTTGCTGAGTGGATTTGGTGAAACCTAAACCTCAGTACTGGTTCCCAGTTCCTCCTGGCCACTCTTAAAGTCAGAGCAGCCTGTCCTTACTGTATGGGTGGGCAGGATCCAGATGTAAGTCTCCAGAGCATTTGTTCCCAGTGTCCCTGTCTGGACAGCAGGTGGTGTTTGTAATATTGTATGCCGACTCAGATTTGTGGGAAAAAATTTTTGGTGATGTATTATTTTTGGAGAGTGTATCCCTTTGTACCTGCTCTATGCTTCCGAGTTACAAGGCCGTCTTGCAAAGACATTTTCACACATTCCAAATTGAACAGTGTTGCAGTGACTACAGTTCAGTGTCCACCACTGCTGAGGGTTAAAGTGGTGAAAAGGATAATTCACAGCAGGTAGTTAACAAGTTACTCTTAAATCTGAATTGCCAAATTCCCCTGTCTCATTTGAAAATAAGGTGTAACCAATAACCTCAATCATGACTCTTGGCTTATGCCGTCCTATTTATATAAAAATAGCACGTGTCCTTGCAGTCCTCGTTCTCTACTGTGCCCAGAGGCCAGCAGATCAGGACCCAGTGGGTGCCGAGTGGGCAGGGACCACAGAGGTGGGGAGGCATTTTCTGCCCCGGGACACCTGCGGTGTGAGGGAGACCCCAACTCCTCTACCTCCCTCCATCTGAGAGCCCGGCCCTGGCGGGCACTGACCACCCACTTCTCTGCACTTGCTTAACTGTGAACAGTTGTCCAGCTAGAAACTCCATTTTCTCTCGCCATCAGTCAGTGAGATGAATCAGAATAATTTGTATGTGCTGATGTTTTTAAAAGTTTATTCTTTGAGTTAGGGGTTTAGGGCAAGTGGAAAAATGAACATTTTGACCTGAACCTGGGGCTCTTTATATAGTATTTTCACGTGGGTTTTCTGAGAAACAGCATTTTCCTTTAAGTTTCATCCTGAGTCCTGACTTTTGCAAAATGCCTATTTTAAGTGATGTTTTCAGGCATAATGCATCATTACAATCAGAGCTAATATTTATTGCCCTCTTACTGTGTGCATTAACATAGACTACTGCCCCTAGTACCCCCCCTTGCCCGCCTCCCCCCACCCCCCGACCCCCTGTGACAACCCCAGGAGGTCAGTACTGTTCTTATCTCCATCCTGAAGTCTGGAAAGGTGAAGTAACACAGCTAATAAGTGGCAGAGCTGAGATTTAAACTCAGCAGCCCAGTTTTCCTAACCAGTGTTCTGCTTTTATGTCCTCCAAGTTAGTGTTGTGTGTTGCAGAAACAGCTTTTTAGCTCACACGCTTTGATTCTGTGGGTCTTAGTGTCTGAAATGGGATGACTACTTCATCCACAACCATTATTTTATATATCTGCTGATTAAATAGTGGAACCAGGATGTGTGGCTCAAGCGATGAAAATTGTGTAATTTTCTTTCAGAAACACACAGTGTTTAAGGGGACCACGAGGGAATTGTGTAAGAATTGGCATGTAGTTGTAAGTAATTAACTGGAATTCAAAATGAAGTGGAGAAACAGTGTAAAAATGAACACAAAGCTCACCTGTTTTAACCCGGGGTCACCTTGCCTTACGGCCGAGGTAGAGGCTTTCCTACAGCTGTGGCCTCGAGGCCTCTGTGGCACAGAGAAGGCCCCCACCTTGTGTCTTGGGACTCCGAGTCCAGAACAATGAGGAGGAGGATGGGGAATGAGCTAGGGGCATTAATAAGATCAGATGGCAGCTGCTCCCTGTTTCTCTTGCCTTCTGTTCCCAGACTTTGGTTAGAAAAAGTGAATTACAGAAATGTTGCAGTGTGGTCCTCCCTGTGGCAGGCTGGTCAAGTGGACAGGGAGGTGGGGAGATCTGAAGAGAAGCAGCTGCAGCTTCTTTTGTTCAGCCTTCAGGAGATTGTTGGTTGAGGGCCAGGGGAACTGCTGTTCTCTGTATAAGAAAATGCACACAGTTTTGAATTTTGATTTTCAACAAGTTTCCCTTTCCAAAAAGTTACTGGATGGGCACAGTATAGACTGAGTCGTAGGACACTGAGGGATAGGGAAAACCAGGTGTACGAGGGGTGGCACAGAAGGGCAACTAGATGATTGTTGCCTTTGCCATTATATTATTTTCTAGCAAAATTATGCTCGGAATATACTGAGCCATGCAGCAGGCTCTGTGGTCATGCCGAGCATCTCCGCAGACCGTCCCTGCACGTCTCTACAAGCGACAAGAAGGGAGCGTGTGAAGAAGCACAACTTTCCTTGGGTCTGAAACCATTCAGTTGAATCTCAGTTCCCTTTAGGAGGTGTTTGTGTTTTTCAGCTTCATTTCTAGTGCCTCCAAAGGGCCCTTGAGCTGCCTGTCCGCTGGTGTTTTTTTCTCCCTACAGATACCTCCCGTGTGGAAGAAA